GTTTCGGGGCCCCCCACTGGCGGGGAAGGCGACACACCACGCGCAGTCAGCGCCCCCCGCTCGCCTCGATCCACGAAGTCCGCCAAGCGCCACCGCAGGCGACTGGAGCTCCCAGCCAGAGCCACCTGCGCTCTAATGCCCGGCCCGCGAGACCGCCCCCCGGATCCGCCCACCCGGGCTGGAGATCAGCCCGGGGGCCGCCCCCTCGCCTTCCCCGAGGGAGGAAGCGGCAGCCTAGGCAGCCCCGGGCGGGACAGCGCGGCCGAAGGTTTCCTCGGCCAGCGGGGCGAAATTAACTTTTGGAATTCGTAGCCCCCGGAGGTGTGAGAGGCTGTGGCTGCGATTAAGCATGTTTACTGGAGGCAGGTCCGCTCAGGCTGCTTATCGCCCTAATGAAGCCTCTGCCTGCAGAGACAATCTGTCAGCGGCGGAAGGGTCAAGAAGGGAATGGGCTTTCCAGCCACCACTGGGTGCCGAATCGTGTGTTGTTCGGCTACGTTTTCCAAACGCTGGTCTGCCACTTAGGCTAATGGGGCAAAACTGCGATTGCAGCATTATAGTTTATTCTGATCTTACAAGAGTAATGGGTGAATGCAGAGGCCCCAATGAAAGCCCAATCCAACCACACCACAGGTCCTGCTAGCAGGGCACCCCATTGCTCCAGATGGCCAGCCCAGCGTTCCCAAGACATCCATGTGGGTGGCTGCCCATCTTCCTTCCTGAAAGCAGTCCTGGGCAGCCTGCAAGCATCTTCCCTCTCTGTGAGCCTGGAGGTTCCCTGGCTGTCCGGAGGCCCATTCTGTCCTGTGTGGCTTTACCTTATCCCCCCTGCAGATTCACGTAAACCACTGTACAATCTCAGATGCCCCCAGTTAATGATGTGATGTATGAACAAGTCCTGTCTGCTCTGCATTTACTGGTCATGGAATTAAGAGAAACTGAAGAAGCATCCATACTTTTTATCTCCCCTCCCTCCTTTTTTTAAAGAAGTATGTCTGTAATTTCAGAAGATCTGCTAAATATGTGTAACTTTTATAGGCCCTGGTTGACAATTATTATGTTTATACATCTCCTTTCCCAGTCTACAACTGGCTTTGGCCATACTCTGGAAACAGTGGGATAAATCTGACAGATTAATTCGAAATGTGAAAGTCCAGGCAACAAACAAGAGCCCCTGGCAGTCGTGCTACTGTACGGATTATTTCCTCTCTTCATGGCAAAGTAATTCTCATCCTGTGTCTTCTAAGTGAGTTGATATCCAGTGAGAATTGTAGGTCAGCACATCTGGTGGGCAACAGGTCGGGAGAGGCTGCCAGAACAACGGGAAGGGGTATATCTCTCTAGATTGTCCAGTACAATCTTGCTCCTCATCCTCTTTATCTTGCAGCATTAGCATCTCTTGGTGAGTGCTAGGTGCCTTAATTAAAATGGCATTTGGAAATGAGGTTGTTGATAATTACTGAAAAGCCATCTGGGACATCTAGTTCATCTCGTCATTCTCTCTGGAAATAGGTGGGTTTGCTATTAAAATTACATCAAAACCAGAAGATAAATTGCCATATTGGTTCCTTTCTCCTGTTGTTGCCAAGCAGATGCATCTGAAATGCACAAACACATCCATACCATTTTATTTATTTATTTATTTATTTATTTGGTGCCTTTGGGTCAGTGTAGGCTTCTGCCTGGCTTTGTGTCCAAGGTGGGACTAGAACTCAGTCTCCCAGTTTCTAGCCTAATGCCTTCACCACCACACCAAACTGGCTCTCATTTTACTACTTTTCTCTACTTCTTGTGTCATAAATGTCATAAAAGTGAGCAGATGGTCAATTGGTATCTCCTAGTAGACTATCAGCTTTAGTTGTTTAAAAATAGCAGTGATAAAATGGTCATCCTGCCCTTTCCCAGTTAGGCTGCTGAGTTAAAGAGTTAGGAGTGGATGTCTATGCAAAATATCTCAGCTCATTATCAAGGTTGAGCTGGAATCCTGCTCCTTCAGTCCAATTTTTCCAATCATTCAGTAGAACATATACCTACTTCTCAAAGAAGAATGACCCAAAATAGGAACTGAGTTGTTCTGCCTTCTCTTTAGGTTATCAACTGATTGAGCTGCTGCTGCAATTCTTCTCACATTTTATTTTGCATGCACCTGAAGCTCTATTGTTCTTTACACCGTTTGCTAATCTCAACTCATTCTAAGCTTCTGGTTTCCTGAAACCATCTCTGCAAGTCTAGTTTACCATTATGTGTGTTTGTCCTTTCATTTTCAGTTTTTTTTCATTAAACAACTTCTGCAGCCCACTGGCTGAACTCTGTAACTTCCCTTGAGCAACCAGAGATTCATAAAGATAAGGGAAATAGTCATAGGTCTATGAGGGGGAAAAGATGCATAATCCATACTGGGATGTCTCTTTTATTAGGATGAACTAAAAGTGTGCAAGATTTTGAGGCATGGTGGTACACAAGGTGCAGGCAGAATGTTCTAACAGCCCTGACTATCTTTTCTTAAGGCATAATTACCAGAATTCAGAGCTTCCGGTACAGATTGCACAATCTTACATTGTACACACATTATTGATGACTTACTGAGTTTCTGATTCTTCCCACCTTCCATATAAAGTTATTTATTGACCCAGGCTTGAAAGTCCTTTGCCCTGCAGCAGTGGGCAAGCATCTAGGCAACTTCAGTAAAAAGTGCAAGGGATGTGGCTTAGCTGCCACAGAACCTTTGGTGTGGGAGTGCAACTGGTATCTTGTAAAGCCTTGAATCTCGCCAGAAACAAGTCATTCACCCTGAGGCAGCCAGAGATGCAATCTGTATGGAACGGCCAGGACTTTGCTTTTTTAAACAGCATAATACGCATCTCATGTAATTATAACATTTGTAAAATTATTTATTTATAACCAATTTTCCAGTTCTAAAAATGGCTCCCTAAGTTAAATAGCAAGGACCCTTCCCTCACCTGATGTCTTCAATTACTCACGTAATTCATAGTCAGAAGAACCAAATGTGGAATGTGGTCCCAGTAATTATATGTCTTTGCTTAAGGGACTGTTTAAAGTTTTACTCATTATAAAAATTAAGCATGCTCTGATGTAATCTCCCCCATCTCTGCTATTATGACAACCCTCAGCCAAGACTAGCTTCTTTCCTTCCTTCACTAGCAATATTGAAATTTTAGTGTAAGTACTTCACCTGTTGGATTAAATTTGCAAAACATGTTAGTCTTAAGGCAGACTTCTCCAAGCTGGTACCTTGCAGGTATGTTGCGCTACAGTGGTCACCATGCATACTGGCTGGGGATGATGGGAATTATCCAATATATCCAGAGAGTATCAGCTTAGAGGCCAGTTCAAGATTTTTCAAGAAGTTTCTCCTCTGGTTGTCACTTACACAAGATCCAAGTCCAAATATAGGCATATGAGTTAACAAAGGATTGTGTGTTGTGCTTCTCTCCTTGCAAGAGCTTCTTATATATTCAATAAAGATCCTAGATGAGAAGCTTATCTTAGGAGCAAGCATGAGCTGATCAAATGATTCCTTTACAATAAACTGAAGGAACATCCCCCTGGCTCCCTTCTCAGCCTGGATTGACAGTGGATCTCTTTTAATGATGGGCTTGTTAAAGTTACAATGGACTCTTCCATCTAGCAACCAGACTTACCTGTCTTCTCTTCTGCAACAGTTCAGCTGGGCTGGGCAGGTGTCCTCACCACTGTACTGCATCCTCTATCAGGAGGGGGACAAAACCAGCATCCAGCTGGTGATCTATTTTTCCTTTTTGCAACAATGGAGATGGGGAGGGGTTTTTAAAGCCAACCACCTAGGAAAACTGAGCAGGATGGAAGGATGGTCTATCATCATCGTGTTCAGCTGAGTGAGACAAGTTCTTGTTGCAGGTCTTCCATTAAGATGAGCAAGAAGAGGATGACCAGAAGCAAGGTGGAAGGACTCAGTTACAGTAGTGATGGCGGAGCTGTTGGAAGACCTGAAGGACAAGGTTAGGGACATATCATCATGGAGAAAATTCATCTATGTGGTTGCTAAGAGTCGACAATGACTTGATGGCATATAATCAAAAAAACAATGCTGACTTTTTCAAGTCTACTCTTCCCATCCATGGCTAATTCTGATCTCCTAATGGCTAGGTTTTGCAATGTACTTTTACAGGTGATAATGGAATCATCTTATTTTCTCACCCTGAAAGAAACTCCACCACACAACATACCAGATACAAAAAGGAACATGACAAAGACTGGACAGCTTTCTGGGCTCTCTTTTGACAGTGGATCTCTTTTAATGATGGGCTTGTTAAAGTTACAATGGACTCTTCCATCTAGTCCACCAAACCTGACTCCAAAAGAGGGGGAAATGCCCATCCTAATTTGCCCCTGGTTGGTGAACTTAATACTGCATTAGTTTGCTTTTCATAACCATCCTTGGAGGCTAGTCTAAAGCCACAAGGGAACACACTAAGTCAGTGAAATGGAAAGGTTAAAGGACTGTATA